GAGGACGAATTTTAGAGGAACTGGACGGAGGATGGATTGACGATACCATATGTACCGCTGTACTAGCAATTATGCAACACGAAAATCCAAAACTTGGTGGATTTCTTCATCTTGGTTATTTCAACACCTTTGAGCTGGACTCGAAACCGGTACTCGACGCCGATCAGAAAGAAAGAGCGCGAAATATAATTAAACAATGGAGGACGAACGCTATGCAGAAATGGTTTAATCCCGATAAATCTGATTTGCGGAAAATTCAAATTCTTAATAGAGGGGGAAACCATTGGGTCACCGTTACCAACGTTCACACCGGGCCGGAAAATTATGTGAATATCTTCGACAGCCTCATGATGTCTGTCACGACGTTTATGAAGCAGGCGATTGCTTCAATCATTCAGCTTCCCCCTGCATTTGAAGAAGTCAAACTCTATACGCCTATGGTGCAAAAACAGAGAAACGGCAAAGACTGCGGAGTGTATTCAGCAGCTTACTGCGACCTCCTTTGCAGAAATCAGGATCCGACATTCATGACGTTCGACTTGCAAAAGGTACATTATTTTGTTAAAAATTTGATCATCGCATTACGGTTTGACGGTCAATGCATTATAGATATTAGATAGCAATCATAACAATTAGTGGCAGGCTACGAAATTAGCTTGCGGTGCAGCTATACAGAGGTTTATATCAAGGTTTACGTATTTCATTTTTTAAGTAAGTAAACTTTTGATTTTTCTCGCATTAATTCCCCACAAGAATATTATGGCACATGTTTGACTTCTCCATGTACGTCACGAACACTTTGCAATGATGCGCTCTTCTTTTTCGTATCTTAAAATTAGTTTTTAAAATTTTAAAAAATTTTTAACCTCTTCTTTATTTCGATTCATAATTATGACAGTATTAACCAGACACTACTGCTACAAAATTATGTACTTTAAATTAAATTTAAAAATATATTTTCAGATTTCGAAAGAACGCTAAAACAGTATTTCGGTCACTCGGTGTGTGGGTATGTGCCTTTATGTACCATGTATAACTGTGTAAAAGAAATCGGCCCATGATGAGACTTTTGGTAGGTATGCCTGAATGCATTCAAGCTTTTCAAAATTTTCCGACAGACATAACTCCCCAACCAATTCGGGCGCGCGCACACTGTTTTAACGCTTGCGCATTCAAATCATTTGGCTAAAGAATGTCATAAAACACTGCAAAACAGTGACTAAGAGTGCGCGAAAGAGAGAGTTTTGGCACCATGTGCCGGGCCACTTCCCACTAACCCGGTATTGCGTAAACGTATTAATACCAACACTACATTTTCAACGTTTTCAAAGCACACGAACACTACTAAACTGTACCGCCAGATATTAAAGGACCGATCGAGTGAACGTGCAAGGGGTTTATTCCTGTGCGCCATCACTGTTTTCTTGAAATCTGTGGCAGCACAATACTCTCCACGCTTATGAAATTTCCGCAATCGACGCGGAATATACAACAGTGACTGTCGTTTTTCAGTACTTCGATTAAATCCGTCATTCGATCAATGTAATAATATGATGCAGCTATTCGGTCAAACCGTAAAGCGTGATCAAATGACAGATCTGATCGAAGTATCGTACGTACAGCATAGCAACCTTAACCTGCTCATGCGGCGACAATGGAGGAAAACGAGTAGTCTGTATAATCTAACACGCGTTATATTTAATTGAACGTTCCAGTCAAGCAGCCGTGTCGCTGACCGTTCTAAGACCAGTGAACTTCAGCGAAGTAGTTTTTTTAACGCACTTTGTCATTGGATCAATCGCTGTTAAGGTCACAGGGCACCTTATCAGCCGTTTTCAGCAGGGTTAACGATTCCGTATCTTCTCTGTCACTGTCTTCCGCGCTGGCGCCAGTTATTAGAAGAAAAGTACGACATAAGCATAGTGAAAATATCTATATACTGTCTTTTGAATGACCTTGCTCCTGACAGCAGTCAAATAAGTTGAATCCTTATGCAAACAAAACATCCAGGCCAAAATAATGGACTTTAATTGAGTGTGTTCAACTTTTAATAGGATATTCAAGCTGTAAGCGATGCGCTTGCGAATACCGCTAGGCAGCGAGTGTTCGTTGTCCACTAAACATGCACATGTGAGCAACTTTCGTTTGAGTATTAACAATGCTCGAAGTCATTCGAAGCTGTGCTGCGAAGTAAGAGTAAATTGCTAGTTGTCATTGAATGCAAACTATTAAGATTACCACCTGGTGGTAAACTAACATTGGTGGTAAGGGTATGAATTCAGGCCCACGTTCCTGGTGTTCTTTGGTGGCACGTCACCGAAAACGGGAAAATAAATGCAAAAACGAAAAAACTGAAATGAGCAAAAGTTTACAGGTGGCGCTTTTATTGCAGGATAGCGAGCAGCCGTTTATGAAATGCCGAGAATATCTCGTTGAGCGATTAGAAGCCGGGTCCTTTGCAGAAAGGAGCGGATTTCCCTCAGCGGATGACCGATCGTACAGTTGCGCGGTTCGCTCAAGTTGGGAAAAAGCAAAAACTGTCAAGATACACTGCTACTGCCGCATGCCCAAGATGCCAACAAAATTTATGGATGCATCGCATACGGACCCAATGATTAGGTGTGCAAGCAAGCTTTGCGTTACCAAGCTGTTTCATCGCAGTTGCGTGCAGCAACACCTGGAACCAGGGCCCCTGGATAAAAACTGGCTTTGCAGCTTTTGCAGGAGCGACGAGAGCTTATCAGTTGACGATCCTGTTCAGCGTTTAGATTTTGAGCCAGAATAGTTGGAAAAGCTGATTCGTTACATCCACTTTCATTTTGTCTGCACCAATAGATGATCCCATTGTTTTATGTTTTTGCTGCTACCTTGTTGTTGTTTTCATTCGTTTTTGACGTCTGTTGTTTTCATTCGTTTTTGACATTTCATATGCTAAAGTTGCACAGTTATGTGAGCATTAACTGTTGTGCTTTTCGTTTTTACGTAATTATACATGTTGGTTAGTATATTTGTTTATGACTAGCAAAGTCACTGAAACGGGAAAACTTTTGCGCCGGTTATTTCATCTTGTATTACACTTACAAAACCCAGTAATCTGTCGAATCCGCTAGCTGTGTCAACTTGGAATTTGTCAGCGAGCAAACTGTCGCAAAGCAAAACACAGAACTGACCTGCTACCGGTACTGGACCCTAGCCCTGCACTTGAAGAAAATTTGTACGCTAGGACCGGCACGGTGCTGTATAGCCGGATAAACGTTCAGCCAATTCACGTTCTAACATGCACTAGCGGCAAGCCGTGTATGTGAATGGTGAATGCGGTCGTACATGTTCGTGTGGCTGCACTGTACGAATTTCCTTCAAGTGCAGGGTTAGGGTACAGCAGTATTCTGGTGCTCATAAATCGGTGGCGGATACTACTGGACCGACACTGGAATTCCGTAACCCGCCATCATAAAACGCAGGATCAGCTGCCATCAGCCGGAACTTAGTAACAACCTGATGCATAGGTCACCACCAGCCACACTTAATGTTGAAGTTACTTATTATCTACGGCTACACGAGAATATCATTTCTTATCCGTTGCAGTTGTCCACCTGATGTAAAGGGCAGCGGATCGCAACGGGCGCAAGGCTGACTGCAGGGTTATTATGCCGATTCACAAATGTAACGCACTCTTACAAAGTATGGGCCACAAAATCTCAATGGGATGTTAATGTTATATTCAATGTTTTGTTCCCTGAAGCCAACCCTCATTTGTTCGTTTGAGGATAGCCGACAGCCCAGGTTACCGCTCAACAAAAACGTTTTTCGAAGAGTTTTAGCAGCAAACTGGCACCATATCGACAGCTCCTTGTCCAACTCACGTATTTGCGAACGGTGTTGCATTTGCTTCCTGTTTGGTGGTAACAACATATTCCAGCTACGGAATGCCGCTCACAATAATTACATCTTCTTCCGCATTTGTGCCTTAACGGTAGAATACTATATCCGTGCATCGATTTTCATTGCTGGCTTTACTGCACCACATGGCCCTATGTGCAGAAACCGTGGCACACGTTGCAGTACGTTCAACGTAACGTGCGCAATGTTCTGCAAGGAAGAGGCAGCGGTCAGACCTGAAAGTTGGGCAACCTCATCTAGTGGCAACAGGACAACCCGAATATGCGAAGTCATCGTTAGAAGTACGGATTTTGACTGCCGACACGCACTATACCGGCTGACGTTCACTGCAATAATGTTTGTTTACTGGACGGGAACTGCGATAAAATAGCTAACACAGTGGACGGCAAAATAGGAAATGGTTATTTCGCCGACCACACTGCGGCGAAATAGCTTAAGGCTATTCTAGCGCAGCGTGCGGCAAAATAGCAAAAGTCTATTTTAACGACCACACTGCGGCAAAATAGCCAAAATCTATTTTGCCGCAAAGACTGCGGTAAAATAGCCACTTCGAAAACTTTATGTCATTCTAAAGCTAAATGATTTGTATTTGTACGAGTATACATTATTCCGAAACCGTTTGCCCGCGCAACATCCGGTTGTCGAGATATGGCGTACTAAAATGGGTGTTCAGAACAATGTATACAAATCATTTAGCTTTAGAATGACATGAAGTGTAACAAAAAAAAGTGATTCGGGGTGCGCGAAAACGAAAGTTTTAGTGTATGCATCCCATTTTTGACGCTATGTACCGGGCCGTTTTCCTTAAAACGCATGCATAAAACGCTACCATGTAGCTGAAGATTTACAGTTACAATTAAACGAAACACTTGTAAAGACTTATGGAAAACATGGGTCGATCATTGTAACTGATGCTGATAGAAAAGCCGACACTTACGGAGTTTTCTCCGTAAGTGCTCCGGGAACAGAAACCTCATCCCACCACGCATTTTGTGGAGCTCTGAAAATATTTAACACGGAAGCATGCAAGATCAATGTATAGCGCGAACGCGGGGACTTTGCACCGCAGTACAAGGTAAAGTTGGAAACAACTTATGTACCTGGACGCGTTCGCCATGATGTGGTCTTCGCAGCGATTGTCTTTATTCTCTGAATGTGATACAGAATGCACAATGATGAATAAAACGAAGTCAAGATTTAGAAATGTCCTTAAGGTTCGATGCTGTCAAATCTTACATTAGAAATCTTTTTCGAGATTTCGGGAGTGCTTGCGAGATGAAGAAAATTAGAGGACCATTAACCAGGAACGGTCACCCAGAAACATCTGCTGAGCGTGCCTCGGTTACGTCCTCACATAGACGCTGTCTTATCATCTTGAATATTTGCGGAGAAAAACTACTTCTATACCGAAGCACTTCTGCTTACATGTGCCTGCAAATTTTCAAATGAGCAACTGTTGTCGTGGCTCGGCACTTCCTTATACAGGCTAAGGCGAGATAGCATGCATGCATGGTTCCTGCTCATGTGATAGAATAAAGCATGCTTGCGACTCTGTGAGTCACGTACCTGCTCGAAAAACAAAATTAATAGTGTTTGTAAGGCTACAACGCAGGTGTATTCACTTCACACTTCTTCCGCATGTTGTAGTATAGAGGAAGCGCCGGTTAAAGCTTAGACGTAGATATCTGCAACGTTTATTCATATGTCACGTGCAAGTAGAGGCAGGATCGACTGTTAGTGCCGTCCTCACTTCACTGCGGAGTTTCCATGCTCACACTTGCAAATCTGCCGGTAGTATCATGCTGCATGATTCATCCACTCCACGGGAAGCAGCACTTGATAATTGTTCCATATCGCTTTGCCAGAGCCGGCTGCGCGTGCTTGCTGTTACGATCGATCAGCACAAAGCTATTACTTTTCAACTACAAAGTAGAGTGGGTACGCACTCCGGATGGACGTGGGCTTGTCGAGAAATTATAGGCGCATAAAGGCAGCGAAAAAGGCACGCGTCGAGCAATGAGCATGCATGCTTGAAACATGATGCATGCATTGATCACCGAGCACGGGCCTACGCTGAAAGGCTGAATCTGATTCTTGTTCTGAGTGAATACTGAAAGTCTGATTCTGATTCTGAATGCTAAAAGTCTGAGTCTGAATACTGAAACTTTGATTCTGATTACTGGAATTCTGGATCTGAATACTGAAATTCTGAATGTGAATAGAAAGGCTCGGAACCTGGCCGGTGATGACCAAAGTCTCTGTAATAAAACCATAACAGTATTATTAACTGAAGCATGCGAGCGAGTCTACAGCGTACATGGATTCTACTATTATAAAACTGTGATTCAGACTATCCAGTAGCGATAACCATAAGAAACAATAAAAACGGCGGCAGCAAATCTGTTGAAGTACTCTGTACATACGAGTGTTTGTGCTGCAGATCTTAATGCAGCACAAAACAAACTTTCTTTTGGGTATTCCAAAAATAATTTCCTTTAATTACCTCTCTTTCATTTGAAGTAATTTAAAAAATTTGTGCATTATGCAACAAAAAAAATAATTTAATTATGTTTTTTTTGTTTCTGTAATATATTGAACGAACGGCATAATCTTTTATTATGTCGGCTCGGGGCAGCAGCAAACAACCAACACTAAACAATTTAGACATGGCAACAATAACGGACAACAACAATACCGTTGCTACAACACATTTGCCATAGGCCATTATCCATTTCACGAGATGCTCGTACAACCTTTGTACGAGTACTTACATACACTACAGTTGCATAAGGCATTATGTAACCTATCGATGAAAACAAAAATCAAAAGATTCGGTAAAGAATTCGAAAACCGGAAAATGAAATGGCTTGCGCTACGTTTTCTGTTTTTTGCACCGTCATATTTTCGAAATGCCTCAACTGAAATGCTCTTTATTGCCACAAACGTTGCTGACAAGTTTCCTTCGAAAATTTTGATGTGTCAGTTGCCAATATTGCGCTTAATACCACTGTGATGGCAGAACGTCCTAAAAAATTTAGAGGGTGAAGTAAAGCTTTTTACTCACCGCACCCGGACATTTGGGAGTGTGACATTTCGCCGCAATTAAATTCGACGCGCGACTTTTGTCGACTGTGTCGCACATTAGTAAGACCATAAATTCCAAAACAATTGCCAGAATAGCACAGAGAATAATGCCGACATCCGAAGATAACAAAATCCAACACAATCCCCGTAATAACCTAGAGACTAATGCCGACATTCGGCATTAGCCCGGTCTGGCATAGACTAGCTTTGAAGAAACAGAACGTCTGCATTAAATATTATTGTGCTGCATTAAGATCTGCAGCACAAATACTCGTATGTACAGAGTACTGCTACAGATTTGCTGCCGCCGTTTTTATTTTTTCTTATGTTTATCGCTACTGGATAGTCTGAATTACAGTTTTGTAATAGCAGAATCCATGTACGCTGTAGACTCGCTCGCACGCTTCAGTTATTAATATTTTAATTTTTTTATTACAGAGACTTTAGTCATCACCGGCCAGGTTCCGAGTCTTTCTATTCACATTTAAAATTTTAGTATTCGAATCCAGATTTCCAGTAATCAGAATCAGAGTTTCAGTATTCAGACTCGGACTTTTAGCATTCAGAATCAGAATCAGATTCAGACTTTCAGTGCAGGCCCCAAGCGCGAGCAGCATGCGCAAAATTTCATCGACCCTGTTGTATACAGTACGTGCAGTACGAGTACGTCAACCGTCCGACTGCAATAATGTATGTAGCCCGCTGATGCTAGTCTGCTCTATTAGGAATATAAAGTTTTCTATCTTGCTCCTTACAATTTTTCCAACTACTGAGAGTTCTTTTGAGGTGTGTAGACTACCAACAAAGAGCCATAATGAGTCTAACTAGCGACTATTTGTCTTGTGGCAAACGTCCTGGCCAGTTTAAAATGAACAGCACAGTGATGGTGGATATAGTCGGCGATGAATGCATGTATGGCGCATCTCCAGGATGCTGACGGTGATAACGTCTTTGTTGAATTTGACTGTGCAAAGTTTCAACCTGGATGGATGCCTTCTGACCGAGTTTACGCATATCTCTCAAAAGTGTTCCTGCGCTGGAAAACGTAAAGTGTTTTTGTGGCTCTCCGATGCCTAGTATCAGTAGCGGTCAGGAATTAGTCTTATGATTTCTGACATTCTTACTTTTCTGACTTCCAAGTGTTGAGGAATACGTTGTGATTTAGATCAAAGGGCCAGAAAATTCTATAGGTTACCTTGATGCTCATGATCCACGTCTGATGTTAGCATATGGTGCCGCAGTACACTCGTGTCACAGTCGACCTTGCCCTAGATCTGATCCTCGTATAAACCGAGACCGGAAGTAAGAAGCACTCGTTCGTGTGTTTCCCAGGGATTCCTCGTTTCTGTGCGTATCTCCATTGTTCCTCCAAGTTGTTTCACCATCCAGTGTGAGAGAGAAGTGTACTCCTTCCGCTAAGCAAGGCAGAGAAGTGGTTTAAGCAGCTTGACCGCTCTTAGGTACGACAACACATACATAAACTGTGAGTCACTTTGATTTGAATCAAAAGTCAGTTTGATTTGCTTGTACCCCTTCGACACCTACCGTTTTGCTGTGGCCTGCGAATTATAAACATCTAAATATCGCAAAATGCTGGCCTAAAACTTCGTGCGGTGTGCTTTTAAGCGGAGGAGAATTATCTGCAACGTAATTCTATTACCTTTGCCTGGTGAATGTTGGACAAGCACGCATATTCAAAAATTGCCCTGAGTGGACCGATGACTTCCAACGGTAATGAACGTTATCATTTCTTGCATATCAAATACTGGAAAACAAGGTGAAGCTTATACTAGCTCAATATGGTCATGTCTTACCTACAACATCCTCACACAGAAACCGACTGGCAATTTCCGGTCCGTAATAATACTTCAATAAATATAACACACTTCATTCATTACTATGTTAGTTAACGCTTCTTGGGTTATCTGAACGAAAAGCTGGTCATTTGTGAATATGCTGGAGTAGTTATTGGCCAGTAACAGAAATAAACTGACTTCCATTTCGCCAGTGATCACGAAATGCATATGCGTTGAATCAGGGTTGCACTTCAAGCAAGCAACAAACACGTCCCGTAAGTTCTATCGCATTAATACAGCGACAAATACAAGTTCACTGATAACGGCAAGCCTCATAATGCGACGCACCACGCTGATTACACAGTTTGCACTCTACATGCATTTGGCAAACTATCTTCATGACGGGGACCTCCTTAATATTTCGAGGAGGACGCAACACGTACTCCTTCACCACGTCAGAAGACTCGTCCAGTGGCTGTCCAGTGATGAACGACGCGAAACCCGCCGTGTGGCTACGGTGGCTCACGAGACACACAGCAAAGATAACATGCCGATTGGACGCAAATGCACCACGATTTTCCCGGACGGAAAATATATGACCCACCGTTTTCCTCACACTCAAACTTATATAGAATAGCAGTTCTGACATCACAATCACATACATCACCAGGACTGAAGGTACTGCCAATTACAGGTAAAGAGATGACTAGAAAATAACATGGCGGTTTGTGTTTACTGGTAAAGGTGGACATCATAGGGGTATCCGTACGTACAGATGTGGGCGTACTCCTCTTCCCCACGTCAGTGTGTTCAGCGCTACCCTGCCTTTCCAACAATAATGAGGTACATAGACGGTGCTTCGTTACACCCACAATACTTCGACGTTTCGCATTTCTAATGTTTTTACAATATGGAGTTACGTACCGGACACCGGAGACGTGGTATTCATCGCGCTGTTCCACCCTCCGATTATAACGTATGTGGTCGGGTGATGCCAGTCTGCTCTGTTAAAAAAACCAAGTGTCCTATCTTCCTCCTCAAAAGTTTTCCGCCTAGTCTTTTTGACTTGTGTAGAATACCAACAAAGAGCCATAATGAGTCTGACTAGCGAATATTTTTCTCGTGGCAAACGCCGTGGCCAGTTTATTGTGAATAACACGGTGCTTGTCAATATGGTCGACGATAAATGGTATTTCGCGTATCTTCAGGATATTGACGGTGATAATGTCTTTGTCGATTCTGACTGCGCAATGTTTCCACCGTGGTGGGTGCCATCTGACCGGGTTTATGCATACTTCCCAGAATTGTGCATGGGCAGTTAAAAGGAAGCGTGCAACATTTTCGTGGCTCTCCGTGAGGAAGATGGTGGGCCGTATATTTTCCGTCCGGCAAAATTGTTGTGCAGTTGCGCTCATTGGGCATGTTATCTTTGCTGTGTGTCTCTCGAGCCACCGGAGCCACATGGCGGATTTCGCGTCGTTCATCACTGGCAGATCACTAAGCGGCTGCCGTCGGGCGAGACTAATAACGCGGAGACCGAGTACATGCCGCTGTACTTGAGGCCTCCTCGAAACATCAAGGAGGTTCACGTCATGAAGATAGTTTATCGTTCGGAGAAGTTGGAGTGCTTAGCTAATATTGACGAGCACTACATTACTGAAGTACTAGATAAAGGGTTTCGGGATGGCCGACAATCCGTACGGTTCGTTGGTATGTT